TATTGACAAAGGACTAAGGTTTCTGTTTCGGAAATCTGCCTGTTCTGTGGTTATCTGCAGGCTAAGGACACAGGCTTATTACCTCCACTGATAAAAGCAGAGGCAGTGTTATAGTCTCATCTACTATCTAGGACAAACAACACAGACACTATCCACAATGAGTAAACTGAATGACAAGGAGCTGCTGGTTGATAGAGCCTTCCACTAAACCAGGACTGCACCAAATCTACAACCTGCACCCACCCAAAAGTTTCCAGAGAGTTCCATCAGGTGCTTAAAAGACACTAAGCAAGAATAGCCCTTCCTCATTGTTTTCCTTCTCTGACTGGAACTCTTGCAATATATAGTGTGATAGATAAAGAATAGATTTATATTTCTACCCCACTCCGTTATGGTAACTTTCAGAAGACTTGGTCACCTGTCTTTCCTATGATTTTTAGACAAATAAGCATACTACAGATATGCACCTATTAACAACTTAAAATGAGGCTAGGCATGGTGGCTAATGCCTGTAATCCCAGCACTTTGGAAGACGGAGGTGGGTAGATTGCCTGAGCTCAGGAGTTCAAAACCAGCCTGAGCAAGAGCAAGATCTCATCTCTATAAATAGCCAGGCACTGTGAAGGGCACCGGTAGTCCCAGCTACTCAGGAGGCTGAGGCAAGAGGATTGGTTGAGCCCAAGAGTTTGAGGTTGCCGTGGCACTCTATTGAGGGTGACAAAATGAGACTCTGTCTCAAAAAAAAAAAAAAATTTAAAATTTTCTGTGAACACTATATGCTGTGAGGGAAAAAAAAATTCCTTTGGGTGTTTTTCTGTGCTCATATACCAGAGCACTCTAGCCTAGGTAAACATAGTTGAAACTTTTTTCTTTTTCTTTTTTTTTTTTTGTGACAGAGTCTCATTTCACAGCTCACAGCAACCTCCAACTCCTGGGCTTAAGCGATTCTCTTGCCTCAGCCTCCCAAGTAGCTTGGACTACAGGCACCCACCACAACGCCTGGCTATTTTTTGGCTGTAGTTGTCATTGTTGTTTGGGAGGCTCAGGCTGGATTCGAACCCACCAGCTCTGGTTTATGTGGCTGGTGCCCTAGCCACTGAGCCACGGGAGCCGAGTCATAATGAGACTTTTTTCCAAAAAACAAAAAAATCCTAGGTTCAAGTCATCCTCCTGAGTAGCTGGGTCTATAGATGAAAACCAACATACCCAGCTAATTTTTCCTTCTTTTATAGAGATGGAGTCTTGCTCTTGTTCAGGCTGGTCTTAAACTCCTAGACTCAAGAAGCAATCCTGCCACTTCAGGACTAGAGTGCCAGTAGTATTATACGTAAATATTTAAATGGTTCACTCCATAGGTTTTAAGATAAAATAGTTTAATGAAAAAAATAAATAAGTATACTATGCTAATGATCTGCATACAAGCAATAGCAAAGAAAAAGAACCAGATATTTTTGTAAGAGAAAAAGAATCCAAGTGTGTGTTTAATATTTTTTTTTTTTTTTGAGACAGAGCCTCAAGCTGTCCCCCTGGGTAGAGTGCCGTGGCATTACAGCTCACAGCAACCTCCAACTCCTGGGCTCAAGCGAGTCTCCTGCCTCCGCCTCCCAAGTAGCTGGGACCACAGACGCCCGCCACAACGCCCGGCTATTTTTTGGTTGCAGCCGTCATTGTTGTTTCGCGGGTCCAGGCTGGGGATTCGAACCCGCCACCTTAGGTGTACGTGGCTGGCGCCTTAGCCGGTTGAGCTATAGGCGCCGAGCCGTGTGTGTTTAATATTAAGGAAAATAAGGAATTAATTTAACCAGAAAAGGCTATCTCAAAACTTTCATTTTAATACATTTAGATCCAATTTATAATTGCCTAGTTTCCCCAAATATGTTTCCCAGTTTGGCTTGGTCAACTGAGAAAACAAAGGAAACAAACTCCTTTCTGCCTATTATTATATTTAATCCTCTGGTAGCCTTCTTCTCTGAATACAAATACATTTAACAACATCTATTACTGAAATCTATGCTGGAGATACAACTGCTTTTACCCATAGCTGATGTTTTCTGATTGTATTTCTGAAGGCAGATATCCCCAACAATAACAGGTATTGAAAGCTACACAAAGATACAGACTGACAGAAAAAGACACAGACTGTGTAAGTAGTACAGAGCTTGCAGAAATGGAAACAAAACAGAAATCCACCTGGGTTGGAGGTATAGGGTTAATTTCTCTTACTGAGGCTCAGGTTTCCCCTTGATTAGATTTAACAGTCCATCTAAGTTCAAGAGAAGGAGCATCTTTCTTCTTTGTTAACCAAACATGCCCAGGTAGAGCTGCTTTTCCTTTCTATGGTAGCTGCTGAGTTCAGACTGTGTCAGCTGGAGGTACCGCCGGACATTGGCATCTTGGAAGATGATGAAGGAAATTAGAGACAGTTAGACCAAAATTGCACCATAGGGCAAGAGGACTGTTAACACACTCCCACTGACATACTGACTATATCACAATTATTCTACAGAATTGTAACTCTCATTAGTTAATACTACTTTGAGTTTTGTTGTTTTGTTTTGTTTTTAATCTCTGTACAGGGCTAAGCTGCCTGCTAATTTTATAAGTAAATGGAGGTTTTTGGTTTATTTTTTTTTATTTTTTTGAGACAGAGCCTCAAGCTGTCCCCCTGGGTAGAGTGCCGTGGCATTACAGCTCACAGCAACCTCCAACTCCTGGGCTCAAGCGAGACTCCTGCCTCCGCCTCCCAAGTAGCTGGGACCACAGGCGCCCGCCACAACGCCCGGCTATTTTCTGGTTGCAGCCGGCATTGTTGTTTGGCGGGTCCGGGCTGGGTTCGAACCCGCCACCTTAGGTGTACGTGGCTGACGCCTTAGCCGGTTGAGCTATAGGCGCCGAGCCGGTTTTTGGTTTATTTTTTTGAGACAGAGTCTCACTTTGTTGCTCCCTGGTAGAATGCTGTGATGTCATAGCTCACAGCAACCTCAGACTCTTGGGCTGAAGTGATTCTCTTGCCTTAGCCTCCCAAGTAGCTGGGACTACAGGCTCCTGCCACAACACCCAGCTATTTTTAGAGAGAGGGTCTCACTATAGCTCAGGTGGTCTTGAAACTGTGAGCTCAGGCGATCTGCATGCCTCCCAAAATACTATGAAAGGGAGTTTGATGAAACAGTAATTATTATTATAGCTGAGCCCATAAAGATACTATTCACGTGGGTGGTAATTAATTCTATGACAGTAAGAAATGGCTTATATTTTATGTCTTTATTAATTCACAGTGGCATTCCCATTCATTTAAATTAACTTTCTTGGCTCGGCGCCTATGGCTCAAGTGGCTAAGGCGCCAGCCACATACATCTAAGGTGGCGGGTTCAAATCCAGCCCGGGCCCGCCAAAACAATGACAGCTGCAACCAAAAATAGCCAGGCATTGTGGCAGGCGTCTGTGGTCCCAGCTACTTGGGAGGCTGAGGCAGGAGACTCGCTTGAGCCCAGGAATTGGAGGATGCTGTGAGCTGTAATGCCACAGCACTCTACCCAGGGGGGATAGCTTGAGGTTCTGTCTCAAAAAATAAATAAATTAACTTTCTTTGGGGGCCCTCTGCTTCTAGCATCCAGTGGCTGCTCAAAAAGCCAGAATCCAAAAAGGGAGACGCTCTTCAGTGCTGAATCAACCAGCATAGGAATGAGTCTACCATCTGCTTCACAATATCCTTTTTTCCTTGGAAGCAAAGCACCAAGTCTCAAATTCTTTATTGGTAGCCTGCCTTTTGTCTAGGTTGTACCTGGGGTTAGCTGAACTACAGGATAAAATGAGCTAAAGCAAAGGCCAGACCCCAGCTGGAGAGCTGGCAGAATAAGAATTATCAAGTTTATTCATTGTGATCCACATCTTATTCCAGTCAAGCTCTTAAAGGCTAGGAATTAAACCTTGAAAAACAATGGGTTTTAAATCCCTGTCACAGGGATTTAAAGTAGGGAGTAGGGAGGATGGCAGCACTTTTTTTTTGTAGTTTTTGGCCAGGGCTGGGTTTGAATCTACCACCTTCGGCATATGGGGCTGGCGCCCTACTCCTTTGAGCCACAGGCGCCGCCCTAGCAACTTTTTTATAATATAAAATAGGCATCCAAACATATAGTATATGAAACAGGCATATACACACACATATACACATAAATATACATGCCTGTTTAAGTATAAACATTTCCTGAGGATATACACAAAAGTAATAATATTGCTTTCCCAAGGAGATAAGAACACAGGAGTGGAGAAAGACCTGTCTTTTTTGTTTTGTTTTATTTTTTGAGACAGTCTTATTTTGTTGTCCTAGGTAGAGTGCTGTGGCATCATAGCTCATGGCAACCTCAAACTCTTGGAATCAAACAATTCTCTTGCCTCAGCCTCCCAAGTAGCTGGGGCTACAGGTGCCCACCACAACACCCGGCTATTTATAGAGACTGGGTCTTGCTCTGGGTCAGACTGCTCTTGAACCTGTGAGATCAGGTAATCTACCCACCTCAGCCTCCCAGAGTGCTAGGATTACAGGTGTGAGCCACCACGCTTGGACCCAGAAAGGCCTGTTCATTGTATACCTTTTCATACGTTTGAATTTTTTTTTTTTTTTTT